TTAAGAAGAATCGCTTTATGTATCCCCCAATTGTAAGTCGCTTTGGATAAAAGCGTCTGCAAAATGACAATGTATAACTTTTTAATTAATATGTATATATGCTGTTTTATTTTATATTATTATTATTATTATTATTATTGAATACACTAGTATTATTTCAATAGTAATGTTTCTTTATTGATTTGTTTGATTTTTGTCATTTAAATAAAATACAAAAATAAAATATTATTTGAATACCGTAATAATAATTATTATTATATTATATGGTTTTATTTTATATTATTGTTGTTGTTTTTATTATTACTAACCCCAACCCTATTATTATTATTGAGTACATACTGCACTGTATAATAAAAAATGTTATTATATATACTGTTTTATTTTATATTATTATTATTGAATACACTAGTATTATTGTAATCGTAATATATTTCTTGATTGATTTGTTCATTTTTATCATTTAAATAATAAAATAAAATATTTAATATATACACTACCACTCAAAAGTTTAGGATCAGTAAGACTTGTAATGTTTTTAACGAAGTCTCTTCTGCTCATCAAGGCTGCATTTATTTGATCAAAAATACAGAAAAAAACTGTAATCTTGCAAAATGTTATTACAATATAAAATAATGCTTTCTATTTTAATATCCTTTAAAATATAATTTATTTCTGTGATGCAAAGCTGAATTTCCATCAGCCATCACTCCAGTATAAAGTGTCACATGATCCTTAAGAAATCATCCTAATATGTTGATTTTGGGGGGGAAAAAATACTTTCCTCCGTTTTTGTCCTTAGCTGATCACATGCTTGTTTTATGCTCTGGCTAGTTTGTTGTATGTTTTGGATGTCACTTCTCAAGCTTTCTTTGGGGTTTTCGTCCAGGTTAAGGAGGAGCTGTTGGTGGAGGCTCTTACCAAGAGGAAAACGGTGACTGTGAACGACAAGCTGATTCTGCCCTACAGCCACAGCGAGGTGCGCTAGAGCCGTCCGCTTTCATACGCCGCTGTTAGCAGAGCGCCCAGGTGTTTTGTAGATAAACGAGTGTCGTTTTGTGCAGGCGATCACCGCACGAGACTCCATGGCCAAGTCACTGTACAGCGCCCTGTTCGACTGGATTGTCCTGCGCATCAATCACGCGCTGCTTAATAAGAAAGACATGGAGGAGTCCGTTTCGGTAAGATGCTTGAAACTGCAACAATCAGAGTCTTCATTAAGGATGTTCAAGGTCTTACAGTCATGTGGTTTCTCCATTATTTCAGTGTTTATCTATTGGTGTGCTTGATATCTTCGGCTTTGAAGACTTTGAGACCAACAGCTTTGAACAATTCTGCATCAACTATGCCAACGAGCAGCTTCAGTATTACTTCAACCAGCACATTTTTAAACTTGAACAGGTTAGTGGGCTGGTTTGCATGGTCGCAACCTTCAAAAGTCTCCATTTTATGGCAGTTTGATCACAATATGTGGTTCGTCCGCCTGCAGGAGGAGTATCAGGCCGAGGGCATCACCTGGCACAACATCGACTACACCGATAACGTGGGCTGTATTCACCTCATCAGCAAGAAGCCCACTGGACTCCTCTATTTACTTGATGAGGAGAGCAAGTAAGAATTGGTTCATTGCTCTCTGAAATTTTGGAAAGATAAGCACCAATTTTTGTGCTGATGTACATTTCTTTCTTCATAGCTTTCCTCACGCCACTGATAAAACCTTGCTGGCCAAGTTCAAACAGCAGCACCAACAGTTTGGTGGGTCAGGCCACATAATAAAAACATTATATTGTTGGTGTTTACAAAATGTATTTTGTACTTTAATTCTTATTAAAGTACAAAAGTTATAATAAAAATAATGTACTGTATGTATTACTATAAAATAAATACTATAAAATCAAATCAAAATGATTCCATATAAATTACAAAAAAATATTTTTTTTTATTATTATATTATATATTAATAATTAATATTTAAATGTCTTTAAAACAAAAGACACCTGTTTTGTAGCATGACCCTGCTAATATTCCATTTGTGCATGTAAATTGCCTCCAACAGGATTTCCGTGAGAAGAACACGGATCACATGCATCCGGATATCGTGGCTCTCTTGCGAAGCAGCGACCGAGCATATGTCCGGCAGCTGATTGGGATGGACCCGGGGGCGATGTTCCGATGGGGAATCATCCGCGCCACCATCCGTGCATTGGCCGCCTTCAACGAGGCCGGCCGCCGCTGGGCAGCCAAGACTGCGGGTAACCCATGGAGCATTATGCATTACTTTCAGATTAGTCCAAAACTTTGGATTTTCAGAGACTAAGAAGGTGTTATTTATAGCTTGCATGTAAGAAAGCTGCATGGTGACGCAAACAGTCTTATTTAGAAGGATTTCAGAATGATTCAACTAAGAAGGGATAATAAAAATAAGTGAGTAAGGTTGTTTGCGAGACGTTTTGGGTGGGGTGTTGAAATCATGCTGTCAACCCTGTTTGTGTTTGTGTGTTGACATACAGGTGTGGTCCGACCGAACTCCAGAGTTCCTCTAGGAGAGCTGCAGAGATCCAACGTTCCCATTGAGAGGATGTACCGGTAAGCTTTGGACTAGAAGAGAGAGAGAGAGAGAGGGAGAGGAAGTGTTGTGAGGAACTTGATCTCTTCCAGTCCTTTCGTTGCCTTTGTGTGGCAGGTGATCATGTGACCGTGCTCTCTCCACAAAGGCACATTGCAGGCCGATTTCTCACAGTAATCTCATGCGCCCGGTCACATTTATGCCAATACAAAATATAATAGCATCTATAATGAAAAACATGACCAGGTCATATTTCATCTCAAAATCCAAAGAAAAAAACAGGAAATATCAACATAATAAAATAGCATCATAATAAGTAGACAATGCAAGAAAAATAAAAATTTTATTTATTTAAATACCACTATATTAATCATTTCATGTGAATCACAATCAATTGTAGACAATACAACAAATCCAATTTAAAATGAAAATTGGGTGGGATGTGCTTAATTGTCACGAAAATATCATAGTATCGTTGTTTCATGGTCTGTAAATTTTATGCAAAATGTAATTTCTTACATTTTTTCTTTTTATTTTGTGGTGACATGACCAGGACATGTCTATGAGAGATTAGAAAGAATGATCACGTTCATAAATGTAGTTGTTCCTGCAATGTCCCTGTGCTTTTCCTCTGGTGTTTGTCAAGGGTTTCCCCTCAGTTACTGACCTGTGATCAGTTTCACTAAAGTTTAACCCATACGGTCAATGGTGCTGATCTATGACCAGCTTTATTGACCGCCCTCGAGTGACTGTGTGTGTGTGTGTGTGTGTGGTGTTTATTTTCTACAGCCATGCTCCTATGCTTGATTTCTCCTTTGATCATTCAGAGGAGCGCCCTCTAGAGGCTTTTGAGGACATCTTTGCTAGTTATGAGAGTAAGAAGTAAGTGGACTTGAGCAGAACATTGAGGTCAGACAGTGAGAGCTTGGCAGCTTGGGAAGGCTGGGTTTCCGGTGTTCTGAGCAAACTCAAATACCACATTATGATGTTTGCAGAATCTAGAAGCTAGCTCTTTTCTCTCTTTATGTGATCAAAGGGCAAGCCAGAGTTTGTATTTAACCTGGTTTGTTCAAAGAAATCCGCAATCCACAACATGCACTCATAAATCCCAGTTGGGACCTTGTGAGGTTTATTACCTCTAAGTACTCCCAAGTGGGATGGAAACCATAAAGAGTCCTTTTATGGAGTTTATTATGGAAGCGAGTTCACTTCCTGGTTTGTTGACGCGCTATTAGCAGTGCGTTCCCAGCCCCCAGTGCCAATCCTACCTGTTTGACCTCCCGTTGTTCTGATCTGAGTGGTAAGTGAACCAATGCATGAGTCCAGGCCTTTGCTGAGTGGGGTGCCGACCCCCGTTTTAACACCCCGTCAGGTCAAAACCAGAGTAACAACAGCATGGATTTACCACTGAAGCTTGAAGGAATAGTTCACCAAGTTAAAGACCTTTTCGAATTTAACACACTTGCCTGCATTTGTTCATTGTACGGGATTCCTTTTTGTGGTGGAGGGTGTTTCCCTGGCCAAAAGCCGGTTAACAACATTGGTGTTGGGTTCCTGTACTTTCCCTTCCCCGTTCAACTTACCTCACTCCCTCTGTCTCCTCCCCCTACCATTTCACCGGGCTGAATCAGGGACATGCATGCCCAAATCATCAACTCCATTAAGGACTTGCAGTTGGATGGAGAAGATCCACGTAAGCTGCTGCAGTCCTGGGGTCGCCTGCGGTTCCCGCGCCACGTCCTCCAGTGAGTTTGACCGCTGACTCCCCTCTGGCTCGGAATGGATGGGTCCACCTTGCTGACCCTTCATGCCTTGACATCATTGGTTGGCATCGAAGCCAATGCATGAGGCCCTTTGCTAAGCTTAGTTCTGAAACGTTCCCTACTCCCAAACTTTGCCAAATATGCACTGTTATTTATCGGCTCGCCCTGTGATTTACTGTTTAACCCCAACCGCCCTTTTAACCCTGCACTAATAATATCCATCTAACAAGTATGCCAATTTATTTTTAGATGGCGCCCCAGTGGTGTATGTTAGAGGAATGCAGAGTTTATGAGCTGAAAGCAGTGTGATCTTCATTAGCGCGTGCGCTAAGAATGGTATCCACATGCTAGCATGCTGCATGAACTTATACAAGACCAACCCATTGAGTCTGTAATGTTTTATGAGCTTCAGAATCATTGCTTATAAACACCACAGACATTGAATACACTTGAATTATAAACTTGTCCTCTTATAACTGTCGTTCACCCTAAAGTAGGAATGCCGTAGATTAGTTCTGTCAATAAAAATGTCCATCATTCCTCACTTCCATGATGTTTTTATCTTCCCCGAAACCATCTTCTCTGTTATAGTGTCTACATGCTAGATTTAACCCCAGAGAACTCTGGGAATCCATGCATTTCAATGGGGATGTTAGACAAATGACTGGAAACGAATGTAGCTTTTTCCACACCATTCCGTAAACAAATCTTGTGCGGCGTTCTCCGTAAAATGCTTCTCATTGCACAGGTTTCCTTACTCGCGTCGCACAAGCCAAAGCATGACTCACTCTACTAACACGTCGTATCCCTTCGCTTCTTATCTCAACAAACCATCAACCCTCCTCTTCCTCCTTCCCTACAGGAAAAACAAGAACCCCAAGACCAGGCAACTCATTCCCAAGGTAAAGCTCTCGCTTGCTGAAATGATCTAACTGCATATTTAAATGAATGCTGTCTAGGGGTTTGTTTGACTTTCAAGATGCTGCTTACGGTATTGGTAGCGTCAGTTTGTTATGTTTAACATCAACATGGTCAAGATAGTTGGGTTAGAAGATGCAAATCAACCCTGCCTTTGCAAAAATGTTGGCATGCAAACAGAAAACCATAGCCTACTCTTTTTAGAAACTCAAAGATAGCTTAATTTATAATTCTTGTGTCCTGCTTAGACACTGTGCAATTGAAGGTTGTTTAAGGTTCCAGGCCAAATTTCAGCTTGGTGTGTTAATATAGAATTACCACCATAAAAGCATGTAACCAGCGTAATTTGAACAATGACAGTTATTCAGTGATATCTTGGGTAGTAGCAACATTTTAAGTGTGGCAATCCAAAAAAAATCACTTACAGCACCTTTAACTTGTTAGCATTTGCAGCATAGCTGGTACATTTCCATCACCATTGGTTAAAGTGTAAAGCTTAGCCACGATTGTTTATGACTTTCCGTTACATGTGCGGTGCTGGGTAAATGTTTTGAAGACTCTACTGCTGTAGCTCTGGCTGGAATGAGATTTTCCATGTCGTCATGTATCCATGGCATTCATATAAGTCTTTCTGTGTGAGAGATTGACTTTCTGTTTTTGTGTGTTTGGGCAGAACCTGTTGGACACTCGCTCGCTGAAATTTGTAGTGGGCCTCCATGACCGCACCACCAAGTCTTTACTTCATCTGCACAAGAAGAAACGTCCTCCCAGCATCAGTGCCCAGTTTCAAGTAAAAAAAAACTATATTAGATTAGCATGGCTGTTCGTGCCAATTTGGTGGTTCTGACTAAAAACAAACACTCTGTTCCAGAACCTAGTGAAGGCATTGTAAGGCATCATAATCACTAAGCTGTTCCAAAAGATACATTTCATTTCATATATTTCATCAAGTATATTTCATTCAGTGCTTAAAATTTTTGATACAACTGTTCAGTCTCAATAGAAAAAGATTATTTTAGCCAATATTTGTTTTTTGGTTTTTTTTCACGCTTAGTTACGTGCTGTTAGCTTGACGACATTGCTAAAATCAAACTATTGTGGCATGTGCTCTGCATGAGAAGAGCTATTTGTGCAGCAGAATAGAATAGAAGAAGCTGCTTTTATAGGCAGTAGACTGAAAGGAATAACAGAAATCTCACTAGGTTTTGGAACAGTTAAAAACTATATTTTAAGCACTAATATTTCAAATGTTAGGATCAGAGAATGCTAAGCATATTATCCTCCAGAGGATCTAATGGGCCAAAGGCATCATTTGTGGTTTTCAACTTGTCTTCCACTCAATATTATGATCTTTCTCCATATTGCAGGCGTCTCTTAGTAAGCTTCTGGAGACGCTGGGGAGGGCGGAACCATTCTTCATCCGATGCCTCCGCTCTAATGCTGAGAAGGTGCAAATGAAATGTCCTTGTTCACCCTATTCAAGTTGATCTTGATTTTAAGTCCATCAATCTTTATTTACTTTTCATGTACATTCCTGGTCTTATTTTAAACGGTTAATCTGTGCACAAAATCTTTTATATTTTTTTTAAATATATATATATTTTTATATATCTTTTTTTTTTTTTGTATTTTCTCTTTGACATTCAGAAGGAAATGTGTTTTGATGAGGCGCTCATTGTCCAGCAGCTGCGGTACACGGGAATGTTGGAAACAGTGCGCATAAGACGGTCAGGCTATGGAGCCAAATACACCTTTCAGGTAACCCATATATTTGACCTAGTGATTGGAACAAATTTATAAACCTAAAAATTAAACTAAGTGTATAACTTGCTTGTCCGAAAAAAAAACAACAAAGCTGGTTTTCTGAATTACAGGAGTTTACAGAGCAGTTTCGTGTATTGCTACCAAAGAATGCTGTGTCCCTGGAGGACATATCATCTCTATTGCACAGGCTTGGCTTTCACCACACTACCTACCAGATTGGGAAAACCAAGGTCAGCATTTTTCCTAGGAACCCTAAAGGGTTTAATTGACAACTTTTCTAGTTTTGGAATTTTAACTTCATGTCTGGCATTGTTTCTTTTCTACAGGTGTATCTCAAAGAACTCGAAAGGCAAAAGCTTCAGGACATCCTCCACAAGGATGTTATGCGCAAAATCATTTTCTTGCAGCATTGGTTTAGAGCTAAAATAGAGAGGATGGAATTTGTTAGAATGAGAGAGGCAGCCATCTTGATCCAGGTATATCAAAATTGGTTTTGTGTTTGGCCAGTATTCTTGCAGTTGTCTTGTGTTTGACCAGTCTGCACTTGTCTAATATTTGATTGGCTTTGTCTGCAGCGCTCATGGCGTAGGTTCCGCAAAGAGAAGTTCTACCAAGCGGCGGTTTTGATCCAATCAGCATGGCGAGGTTCCAAACAGAGAGCTGAATATCAAAAAACACGAGCATCCGTCACAAAAATGCAGGCACTTGCAAGAGGGCATTCGGCTCGCAAACGGTATAGACCTCACACAAGTCAGCACAAATTTGAAATTAAATGTATTTACTTTCTTAATACACAATCTTGGCTTATCGAGCATGATTTAGTAAGTTTTGGATTTGGACTTGTTAGGTACTACTCACTAAAGGAAGAAAAGAGGAAAAGAGAGGAAGAGGAAGCTCTGAGAAGAAAAGCGGAGGAGGAAGCAGCTCGACGAGCTAAGGAAGCTGAACAGGCCGCTAGGCGAGCTAAAGAGGCTGAGGAGGCAGCCAGACGACTCCGAGAGGAAGAAGAGGCAGCCAGGCGTGCCAGAGAGGGAGAGGAAGCAGCTAGAAGACAGAAAGAGCAAGAGGAAAGGGCAGCTCTGCTTGCTTTAGAGGAGAAGACGCTACTACAACAACCACCGGCACCAGGCAAGCAGTCTGACGATGTGGAGACACTAGTGCTGGAGCGCAATATGGCTCCCGTGGATGTTGAGATTGAAAGTAAGGGCAGGGCCCAAGTTGATGTTTCAAAAGACCTAAGTCATTCTGAGAAGGTTCCTCAAGTGGAGGCTGGTATTCACCCTGAGGTTAAAGAACACCAGAAGCAAAAGGAAAATGAATCTTCTGCACATCCCAGAGAGGAAGGTACACAAGCTAAACCCATGTCTCCTGAAATCCCAAGTGGACAAAGCCAAAACAGAGCTCCTCCACTCTCCAAGCTGCCAGTATCCAGAAGTCAGGAGAAACGTGAGCTTAGGAGACAACGGGGCCTAGAGCACAACCAGAGAGAAAGTGAGAGAGCAGCTTCAACCGGAAACGACGATACTTCCTTCAAGAGCAAAACTCTAGAGAGACCAGGGAAAGTAAACAGCAAGTTGAAGGAGCGGTCTGACAGCAAAGAGTTGGATCAGTATACCTTTGTGGCTTGGAAAATAGACAAGGTGAAGAGGGATGCCAAAGATGTCCCACCTGAACTTGTTCGACCTTCCACCTTACCTTTAGATATCCCTACTTCAGGACCTGAAAGAAACGGCTACACAGACCCGTCCATCGCCGCTCAACCTGCTCTTGCCAAAGAAGAGGCCAACAGGAAAAAAGAACCAACAAGAAGCAGCACTCAGCCAGAAAACCTCATGGCAGGACCCTGCAGTCTGGAGGACAGGAACATCAAAACTCTCCAGTATGGTTTCTTATCTTCTCATTCTTGTATATCTTTCTTCATCTCCTTATATGATTCTGACAATATCTTCTATCTGGTTTTCCCAACTTTACCAGAATTCGTGGGATCTCCATGTCACTAGACGATGTGTCCAAAATAGGTTTGGGCGGTTCATCACAGGTAATGTTGACTTGATTTAACTAGTTAACACGATGGTAAACATGAAGGAATACATTGATTTTTGAACCTTGAAGTTTATGTTTGACTGGTTAAAGGGGTCATATGACGTTGCTAAAAAGAACATAATTTTGTTTATTTGGTGTAATGCAATGTTTATGCGGTTTAAGGTAAAAAAAAAACATTTTCCACATTCTGTACATTATTGTTGCTCCTCTATTACGCGTCGATCGTTCTGAAAAGCGCGGTGTAGTCAGATTGGCCGGCTATCCGGTGCATTGTGATTGGCCGAATACCTCAAGCATGTGACTGAAATGTTACGCCCCTTACCAGGTTCAAGAAACTTTCCTCCATAAAATGCACTGCACACGCTCGAATATTTGGGTTGTACTGTTCTGGAACAGTGTTGTAAATAAAACTTAACCACTGATTTCTAGTTGTATCCTCTTTTGGAAGGCAAAACAAAGTAGTTTGGCTAGGGCTGCACGATTAATCGAATGCGATTGTCATGCGCATTTTGTTAAAAAAGCCGGTTCTGTAATCAG